GATAGTCCTTGAAAAATATTCTTTAAAAAATCCTGGTCTATTGCTCTGATATTTCATTATATCAGATTTCTGGTTAAGAGAAATATTTAGATATAGCAAGTTGTAAAGAATCGCCGACTTGTTTCACAAGTTATGACGGATATAAATATTGGAAATTCTGACCCTTTGTGGCGAGGTACCAGAAGGGCTTGGCAGATATCTTCATAACAGATCTTGTGTTATATGATGTATGTTCGAATTTGAGGAGATTGATCGCTTTCTTTGAGCATTTTGTTTTTCAAAATCTTGAACCCTATGTGGGGCAGATAGCAAAAGAAACGATTCGAACTCTACCATCTTTATAAAAGATCTTGTGTTGATGGAAATATTGATATGTACCATGTCAGGAATGGAATCGTATGTTAATTTCGCATTTTATGAGCTCCATGTGTTCAAAATTTAGAGCCTTTGTGGGGAGGAGAGGACCGATATATTCCATCTTCGCAACAGATCTTGTGTTAGTAGAAATAATGGGATGTGTGAAATATAAAGAGAACCTGATGCTTATTTCGGATTTGAGGTCGTTTTGGTTATTCAAAACTTTGACCCTTGTGGGGGAGGTACCAGAAGGAATGGTCGAATCTCTACCGTTTTTATAAAACATCTTGTGTTGATAGAAATTTTCAGATGTGCCAAGTCTAAATTGAATCGGATATTAATTTCGTGTTTTATGAGCTTAATGGGTATTCAAAATTTCGACTTTCTGTGGCGTGCCAGAAGGTGTGGACCGATATATACCATCTTAACACCAGATCTTGGGTTTATAAAAATATTGGGATGTGTGAAATTTGAAGACATTCGGGCTCTTACATCACATTTTATAAGAGTTGTAATTATTCAAAATTTTGACCCTTTGTGGGGGAGGTACTTGATGGAGTGGACAGATATTGACCATTTTCACACCTAGCCTAGCATTGATGCAAATATTAGGGATTGCATAGTTAGAACAAAATTGGATTATCGTTTCTCTTTCTGTGCAGAAAATATATTTTTTGAAAATTTCGACCTTTTGTGGGGGAGGTACCAGAAGGAATGGACCGATATATTCTATTTTCACATCAAACCTTGGATTAATAAAAATATTGTGATGTGTGTAAACTGAGGACAATCGGACTCTTACGTAACATTTTATAAGAGTTACAATTATTCCAAATTTTGACCGTTTGTGTTGGAGCCAAATCGGATTATCCTTTCTCTTTTTGTGTAGTAAAATATTTTTTGTGGGGAGGTACCAGAAGGTGTGGACCGATATTGTCCATATCCGAACTCGATCTAACAATATTACGATGTACCATGTTTGAACCATGTCGGATACTCCCATCAAGAGTCATCGTGTGTACTAGCCAGACAGACGCTCGGACATCGCTAGATCGACTCCAAATGTCCTGATTTGGTCCAAAGAGATGTAGGGTATAAAATAGTTATTTCGATGAGACACGTTTTGGCCGTATAAAATGATATATACCCTCTTTAGCCATATGGCTGAGGGTATAACAAATTTTTGTGATATTCACATAATATTCTCGAAATCATAAACTTAAATATAATTTCCCTATTACTGGGTACTGTTGATTAAACACTATTTATTGAATTGCGGATTTTCACCTAGTTTCTAGGTCAATTAAGGGTTAATATGTAATACACATGTTAAATACCCATACTATGTATCTTCGATATTGATTTAGCACCTACAAGCGCCTCCGGCTTTACCACAAAGACTATAGCAAACCAAAAAAACACATACAAAATATCTTTTTGAGACGATAAACCCAGCATTTATTTATCTTTCGGTTACTTGTTGGCCCCGTTGATAAAACAACAAAGCAAAGCCAAGCGGTCGGTTGGTCGGTCGTACGCAGTGCAAACAATGAACGGCACCATATACCCACCCAGCTGATGCGAGACAACAAAGACAGCGGAGTGTCATCGCTGCAACAAAACAAAGTGTTAACAATAACAACAATAGGCGCTGAGGTGGCTAAATAACAACTATTGACTGCACCAAAGGCGAAGAGTAAAAAAAAACAAAAAACTAAAAAATGCATTTCATTAAAATGCATTTCTGTCAACAAAATAACAACAACAGCAACAAAAACATCATTAACTCATAACAAAAACAAAGAGAGCGGGCAAGCGAGCGAATGAGTTCGGCGGCAAAGTATCTGAGAAATATACAAAGAAATTAAATATCAAGAATAGCAACAACAAGAACTGCGGCGTCAACGTAGCAAATGAAGAGCGAAAGTGCTCATACACGTAGCCATGTGTGTTCGCTGCCCATATTTCTCGAAGTGATAAGAAAATGTGTTTTGCTGTTTTTGTTGTAGGTACTGGTACTGTAGAGTTTAGTAATCGGTAGGAGTCGAATCGAATTTGTGGTCTTGTTATCATATTTTGTGGGACCTTCGACAGAGTGAGAGAGTTTGCAATTGAATGAACATATAATACATATGCTTAAATAGACAGCTGTGTTCGAGTTGGTAGCATTGAAATATACCGCTGCCGATAGTAGTACCCTCGGAAGACCTATTGGGCATCTATTGGTCTTTTGTGAGAATAATTTGTTAAATTATGTATAAGAGGACCTTTTGCTCCTTTATAAGAGGACCTTTTGTTCCTTTATAAGAGGACCTTTTGCTCCTCTATAAGAGGACCTTTAGCTCCTCTATAAGAGGACCTTTTGCTCCTCTATAAGATGACCTTTTGCTCCTCTATAAGAAGACCTTTCGCTCCTCTATAAGAGGACCTTTAGCTCCTCTATAAAAGGTCCTTTTGCTCCTCTATAAAAGGACCTTTTGCTCCTCTATAAAAGGACCTTTTGCTCCTCTATGGGAGGACCATTTGCTCCTCTATGGGAGGACCATTTGCTCCTCTATGGGAGGACCATTTGCTCCTCTATGGGAGGACCATTTGCTCCTCTATGGGAGGACCATTTGCTCCTCTATGGGAGGACCATTTGCTCCTCTATGGGAGGACCATTTGCTCCTCTATGGGAGGACCATTTGCTCCTCTATGGGAGGACCATTTGCTCCTCTATGGGGGGACCATTTGCTCCTCTATGGGGGACCATTTGCTCCTCTATGGGAGGACCATTTGCTCCTCTATGGGAGGACCATTTGCTCCTCTATGGGAGGACCATTTGCTCCTCTATGGGAGGACCATTTGCTCCTCTATGGGAGGACCATTTGCTCCTCTATGGGAGGACCATTTGCTCCTCTATGGGAGGACCATTTGCTCCTCTATGGGGGGACCATTTGCTCCTCTATGGGAGGACCATTGGCTCCTCTATGGGAGGACCATTTGCTCCTCTGTGAGTGGACCTTTTGCTTCGCTATTAGAAATCCTTCGGCTCTTCTATGAGAAGACCTTTACCTCTTCTCTGAGAAGACTTTCTACTCTTCTCTGACAACGCTTTTTTATTAGAGAAGACCTCCGGCTCCTCTATGAGCGAAGACCTTCCGTTCTTCTATGAGAAGACCTTCGGTTCTTCTGTGAGGGAAGATCTTCGGCTCTTCTGTGAGAGAAGACCATTGGCTCTTCTGTGAGAGAAGACCTTCGACTCTCCTATGAAAACACCTTCGGCACTTTATGAGAAGACCTTCGGCTCTTCTATGAGAAGACCTATCGCTCTTATTTGGAAAGAACTATACTTCGTTGCTGAAAAGACCATAAGCTCTTCTCTGAGAAGACCTTCTGCTCTTCTATGAGAAGACCTCCAGCTATTTTATGAAGAAGACCTCCTGGTCTTCTATGAAAAAAGACCTCCTGGTCTTCTATGGAAGAAGACCTCCTGGTCTTTTATGAAAGAAGACCTTCTGCTCTTCTATGAGAGAAGACATTCGTATCTTCTTTGAGAAGACCTTCGTATCTTCTTTGAGAAGACCTTCGTCTCTTCTCTGAGAAGATCTTTGGCTCTTCTATGAAAAGATTTTCGAATCTTCGATGAGTAGACTTTCGGCTCTTCTATGGGAACACCTTCAGCTCTTCTATGAGAAGACCTTCGGCTCTTCTATGAGCGAAGACCTTCTGTTTTTCTATGAGGGAAGACCTTCGGCTCTTCTCTGTCAAGACCTTAAGCTCTGCTCTGAGAAAACTTTCTACTCTTCTGAGAAGACTTTCTACTATTCTCTGAGAAGACTTTCTATTCTTCTCTGAGAAGACTTTCTGCTCTTTAATGAGAGAGGACCTTCTACTCTTCTCAGAGTAGACTTTCTCCTCTTATATTAGAGAAGACCTTCGCCTTTTCTATGAGAGAAAATCTTCGGCTCTTCTATGAGAAGTATTTTCGCTTTTCTATGAGAAAACCTATCACTCTTCTTTGAGAAGATCTTATTCTCTTTTTTTTTTTGCTTCTTTAATTTTTTAAGATCATATATTTCTATTTTATTCTCCACGACTGTATTTCCTAATCAAACAACTTGTTATCAACATAATGAGTATTAATTCGACATGACCACTTATGGGAGTAAATAATTATTGTTACCGATAATCGTGTTAGAGGAAAAACTTTCTGGGGGCATACATTGAGTTGCTGTTTGGATACATGTGTGCTTGGCTCTTCCTCAGTTAACAAATATCGAAAAGTTGTTGTTGAAGATCACGTTGGAAGTTCAATACGATTCCTAATGGATTAGTGGTAGCATGTCGATCGATAGGAATGACAAGTCATGAGACACACGTAAATCTTCATATCATCGCGAGAGAGAAAGAGAGAATTTGGGCATGACTGTGTGTGTTTGGCAATGCGTGAGAGAGAGCGAATGAGTGATTGGTCTCATCATTGCTCTCCAAAGAAATCCAACTCATACATCGAAACGCTTTACAAACAAAACAACAATTGAAATAAAGAATAATTCCTTTTTTCATCGATTCAAAATATTGCCCTGTATTCAGTTCTTAATCAGCGTTTAATCGCGCTGCACATGACAGGAAAAAATACTATTTAAAAATTTATTCATTTTCTTTGAATAAAGAAAAAAAATGTTTTGTTTATTCTTTTTAAAAAAAACGCGTGAATAAAATCGAAAAGCAAAAGAACAATCAAGTGTTAAACTTACATTATCAATACAAATAGCCTACTTAAAGTTTGAAATTTTGATCCACATTGGATTTGTGTTACACATTGTGGTAAAGTGTTAATTTATTAAATCATTGTTAAGTGTTAACTATTAAAAAATATTCAATGGAAAAAAATAAATTCGATTTATAAATGTGGCATTTATTTTTAATAAATGTTAGTTTATGGAAAAAGTGGGTTGAAAATAAATTTTTATGTTAATATTTGCTCAACTAATTAACGTGGATTTCGAAAAATATAATTAAAGAAAAAAATTTAATGTGTTATAAACTAATGTGATTTGAAATGATATTATGTCAATATTGAAAATACGAAAATACAATAAATTAAAAAAAGCCAATATAATATTAAATAATATTAAGAAAACAAAACAATAACAAAACGTCACACAACCAAGATAACCCCGCCACAGAAAAGGTCCACAACAGCAACAACAACACCTACTAAATATTTGTTGTTTTCAATAACTGTTGCTGGTGTTTTTTCCTCATTAATGCAAAAAGGTACGTTTTTTTTTTATCAAATTAAACGGTATGTTATTAAAAATATACAAAATGTGCATTCTTTAATTGTAGCTGCCTATGGATTTATGTAAATATTTGTGGAAGTAAAAATTACACTATGTTTTTTTTGTTTTAACGGAACCTGGTGTTAAAATTTCGTAGGGTCATAAATAAATAACATGGGTAGGGGTAGATTATATGCAAATTGACAAAACTTTAAATAATTCTAAAACACTTTGTCCCATTTGATATAAAGGAAGATTTTTTAACAAAAAAAAAAAAAAAACAAGTAAGCAAAGGCTACAGTCGAGCGGGGCCGACCGTTGAATACCCTACAACACTATAATAAACCATACAGTTTATATAGGCGAGATACTCGAAAGAATTCCACAAGATATTGTGACAAATAATAAAAGAAAACCATCAGGTTCCGTTCTCTAATTTTCGAATAATAGCAACTTAAACTAATTTGCTCATTTCCAATTTATTGGTAGATGTTCCACGTAAATAGTCTTCCTAGATCTGGAACCAATATTTCCCAAAGACCTATAATCTCTCAGAAGTGGCAAAAGATTAACATTTATTATTGGTTTTTGACTGAAACGCATCTATATGAGATACAGACATTTGACTATATTCTTCAACGAAGTCAGCGTTAACGATAGTCAGAAGTGCGTCTTTCCTGTATTTGTGAATTCTCCAAAAAGTCACTGTATTTTGTCTATAAAAGTTGGCAAACTATTTCACACATTGAATATTTTTGGATGGCCATCCAAAACTGCTTGGCTTTTGTAATGTCCGGTAACCCCCATTCAAATGTGCTAGAGAATCGGGCGATAATTACGACCTGCAGACAATTTTGCAGTTTTTTGGTCCATTTTAACCCCTAAATATATGGCGATCATCTCCAAAAAGAGTAAGCTTCTATTCTGACCCTCATCTTATCTCCATGCAAAATTTCGTAAGGATCGAACCATAAATGCGATCTGTATATGATATCCTGATATCCTAACTACTTAGTTTTGTTAGCTGTAGAAATATTACCAAATGTTTAATTCAAAATGAAAATATGCCAAAAATATGACAAAATTGAAAAATTATGAGAAAATTTTACAAAATCCATATTTTCATCTTTAGAGAGATATTTTTATGCGATTTTTTTAGACGTTTTTTCTTTCCTGTCAAGAGGCCATTCGGAATTAATGAGAACTGTGGAAATCAGTTCAGCCGTTCTCGACATATAAGAGATTTTCCAAGCATATCTTCTTTGATAAACGTATATATCGCACATATTTTGCCATATATCCGTTTTGTTGGATGTTAACATCAATGTAAAGATCAGAAGTAACCTTGTCATGGCTTTGTGATTTCGCCGGGATTTAAAATATTCGCGGTTTAATGAAAAATTTTGAATTTTTTCAACACAAAAGATATGGTCTATTTTACCCGCTAAATATTATCCGATGACCACCCAAATTGGTCTCTTCCCCGCCCTAAACTCTAGCTACATGCGAAATTCCGCGTCGATTGGTCTATAATTGCGACCTGTATAGCTACTGCAAAATCCGAAATTTTTTCAGTATTTGGTCCATTTCAACCCCTAAACATTTGACGATCATCTCCAAAAGAAATAGGGTTCTATTCTGACCCCAGACCCACCTCCATTCTAAATTTCGTGAAGATCGGGCCATAATTGCGACCTGTAGAGTGATTACAAATTAACATGGACAGACGGACAGACGGACAGACGGACGGACGGACATACATAGCTAGATCGACTCAGCTCGGCGAGCTAGGAAGATCCATATATACTTTCCTATGTGGGAAACCAATATTTCGAGGTGTTACATAATTTTTGGGCCAATCAAACTTATAATACCCCCAACACATAGTGTTGTAGGGTATAAAAAAATCAGTAAGTTCGACCGGACCGAACTTTGAATACTCTCCACCATTTGGTACGAATTTGGAAATTTAAAAAAAAAAAAATCAAATTCGTTAAAAATTCTGTTAAAATCTTAAAAATACTGTCGCCGTTATATTGAGGTTTATACGGAGACGTGGATTAGCAGAGGCAACTTTTGTCATAGGCTATTACAATATTCAAATACGAAACAAAAAACAAAAAAAAAGAAATTAATAAATAATAAATAAAATCATCAAAATACCGAATATAGGGAGGTATCGTTATAATTTGTGCCGTAATTGTTTCAAATTTGGTATTTGAAGTTCGTAATGGATACTACAGCCTATGACAAAAAATTTTGTAAGCAGGCCCATGTGTTCGTATAGTCTCCATATAACAGTTTTCATTTAAGTGGTAGTTTCCGGAAGTTTTTTGAAATAGTTCAAGTTCTTTCCAAATGGTGGAGGGCATTAGAAGTTCAAAATTTGAAACAATTACGGTGAATAATGTCCCTAAAATCATCAAAATACCAAATAGCGAGGGTGCCGTTGTATGGGGGCTATATGATAGCGTGGGCCGATATAGCCCATCTTCGAACTTGACCTGTCTGCAGACAAAGGACTGATCTGTGCAAGATTTTAGCTTCCTATGTTTATTCGTTTTAACTCTAGCGTGATTACAACAGACGGAAAGACGGGCGGAATGACAGGGCTAAATCGCTGGTCACGAAAATATATACTTTTTTAGGTCTAAAATTATTATTTGCGGAATGACGAACTTAATATACCCTCCATACCATGTATGGTGGAGGGTATAAAAAACAGCAAAGAAAGGTCAATATCCGGGAGGGCTACACCACTATGGTTTTTTAGTTAAGAGTAGATCGAAGCTCCTACTGTGAAATGGTCCATTAAATTAAATGGCGAACAATAGAATTTGAATCGGACGAATATATATATGGAAGCAATATCCCAATCTGAACCGATCTCGATTAAATTTGGCGAAGGCATTTCTGTGTTTGATGAGATATCTGGTACCAAATTTGAAATACATACTTCTTGACTGAATTTGGTCGAAGGTGTCTAAATTCACTTCTATTGGATTGATATTAACACAATAAGGTTAACACAATCGAAGGCTGATATGGAAGCTATTATATGGGTGTTATACAAATCTGAACCAATATTGATAAAATTTAAAACAGGTATTGCTGGCCTATATCTGATGTCTGGTGCCAAATATCATTCTTGTGGAGTGCATATTACCAGATCGGATGAAGCATATACATGGGAGCTAAAGCTATATCGAAACCGATTTTTATCAAATTTTAAATACATGCTTCCAGGCTGAATTTGGTTGAAAGTGCCAAAATTCACTCTATTTGAACTGATATGAATCATCTGGTGCACAAACAATACCTGAAATCGGTCGAAGATATAAAATAGAGCCATGTTGGACCATAAATGTTCTTTGGAAAAATTGGATCACGAATTTATCTTTATTTGAATTGAAAATTTAAAATTACTTCACGCAAATATTGACCGCGACTGCACCTCAAATGGTCCATCCGCTTAGCACAATTTTGGCATAGCTTTCCCAATATTTCGTCTAGTATTTCGTGAATAAATGTTTCAATGTTGCCTTCCAATATATAAGCTTTAACATGAGCTTTATCATAACTCGCCAAAATAGCCTAATGTCGTTAAATCTCACTAACTAGGCGGAAAATTGTCCGGCTCCGAACGTGAAATAAAAAGTTCAAGGGACTCTCCTTCTTCTCTCCTTCTTCTAGAAGGATCTCATGACAATATTTTTAATAAAGGACCAAAAAGACAAATTTGTTGACTCGTATGAGGGTTAAAATTTGGGACCGAAATATTCTTCGTATTTTGGTCTGCAGTATTGCCGAGGAATTAGTACCTGGTACACATTGATTCCCAGGAACTTTAATCTGAAAATTTCCAAAAGTTTGGAAGAGGGGGGAAATTTTGGGTTCATTTCCGATGCAAACTTTCAAAACGCTAATACATGTGTCGTCATTTTTAGCTCTACTTTCATAATCTGCAGGATATCATTAAAAAAAATTAAATTTGTCGCTCAGACCAAGCTGAAGTTGTTTGACAGTGAAACAAAACACGAGGATGTTTGGTGGTCAAAGGGCGGCTAATGTTACTTGATTATAATTCTTTATATACGGTTCTTGTTGTTGTAATTTATTGTGTGTGAGGCACACTCAAACATTTACCAAATAAATTTTAACAATGAAGTGTATTGCACATTATATCTGAAAAACATTACAAAACGTTTTAAGAAATATATTCTAACGATTGATGGAAAAGGTCATGCACTAATTTTCAAATATAAACAATAACACATCAAATAGTTCTCAACGAAATGTAAAACATAATTTGTTGAAATGAAAAAATGATTTTCATTTTGAAAATAAATGAGTATTTTTTAGTATTAATATACTGAATGAATAAAAAATATGTGATTTTTTCTGAGAGTGTTTTTAAAATCCACTCATTTCATGTTATCTCAATGTTTTCTGTTGCATTAAGTCGTTGAACCCAAATGGAAATGTTCTTAAAAATTTTTCTCGTTAACTTCCATGTTAAAATAATGATGCAATAATGTTAAATGCCATACAACAATTCAATGGAAATTAATTTAAATTTGCGGGAATACCAAATTTTATGTCAGTTATTGTTGGTGGAAATTTCTTTGATTTATAGTCCATCAATCTTCGTTGATATGAAGACCAAGATAAGGTTATAAGCCGTATTTTTAATTCCCTTATATACTACACTTAAGCGGGAAGTAAACTTTATAAAAGGATGAATAGGAAAGTTAAATTTAAATCAAGAATTTGGACTCGAATAAAAAATTCTTTTTTGTCTCTCTGGTTGGAGTGCGATAACTCTTTAGAGGGAAAATCCAATAAAGTAATAATCCTTGTCACATCTCAATATTTTAGATAAAGTTTATTTAAAAAAGTTTAACATTTTTAAACAAATATGAATACTTGTCTGGCTAGTTTGAAATCTGTTTTAATTTTTCTTTACTAGCCCACTAATGTTCAAAAATTAGAAAA